CGTTCATATGGATAAAAAACTTTTATCATTTTGCAAACAGCCGGGATAATTATTATTTTATTAACACTCGGTTGTCATCCAGGGTCCAGCAGACCCTGATTTTTTAGTCCTTGATGTTTTTCTATATTTTTTACTCATATTTTGTGTGATTTTTCTAAGAAAAATGTTTGTCTTTCAATAAAAATTTCATTTATTTCAATCAATAGAAAAAAAGCTCATTTTCGTCTGTCTAAATAAATATCTTTTTTTAAACACCCATATCCTATTATTTTTTTTTTTTTTTTATAAAGTATCATATCTAGACCTCGTTCAGTTAAATTTTCAGCTCAAAATATTAAAAATTTTAAAAATTATGATTTTTTTCATGGGACATCAAAAATCGCTGAAATTGGTAATTTCACGAATTTTTTTATATATGAAAATATATATATATTTGGATTTCTTGATACAAGTAATATATTCTACAAATATTGAAGTTTCTTTAATATTTTTTTGGTGCCATTATGTCCATTTATTTGAGAGTAGTGGCACTTTGAAATTTGATACAAGGTTCATCAGATCCTGTGTGACAAGTTTGTTACGCGGCGCATGTGTGACAACCGAGGGTTAATTAAAGAAAATTAACAAATGAATATTGCTGATGCGGTGGAACGAGCTATTTAGATAAAAGAGTCCCATTCGAAATATTTAAATCTGTTGACAATCTTCTGGCAACGCGACGTACTGTGTGTAATGCTGGACTAAACGCTTCCACGATCCAGAATCACGCACAGTTTGCCAGCAGATTGTCACATGAGATTAAACTTTACACTCGCATATTATATTATTTTTAAATAACAATTACGACTTCGATTACCAAACGTTGGCAATATACTATCAAACACTGCTATCAAGTAACCATCAAAATGTTATTAATTAAAGAAAATTAACAAATGAATATCGCTGATGCGGTGGAACGAGCTATTTAGATAAAAGAGTCCCATTCGAAATATTTAAATCTGTTGACAATCTTCTGGCAACGCGACGTACTGTGTGTAATGCTGGACTAAACGCTTCCACGATCCAGAATCACGCACAGTCTGCCAGCAGATTGTCACATGAGATTAAACTTTACACTCGCATATTATATTATTTTTAAATAATAATTCGATTACTAAACGTTGGCAATATACTATCAAACACTGCTATCAAGTAACTATCAAATGCAAAATGTTATTATTAAAGTTTCCGTTATGAGGGCCGGACAACCTCGCGCAACTTATTAATCCGAAAGTAAAGCACTCATCGCAGAATCGTGAGAGTTAAGGTTTGTTTTCTACATTTAATATTACGCGACACACTTTTACTCGCGTTCGTAACACCATGCTTTTTTCGAAAAATTGCACTCGGTTATTTTCGTATAAATCCATCATTTTTTTTTCAAATAATACGCATGTAACTTTGTGATGACGTGAAATCAATATTGAACAGTACGCGAAGAATTCACTTTCGACTGATGTATACATTGAGAAAAAAGATCAGATAAAATTAATTGTCTGTGGATTAGGCAAATTTTGTTGTATCAATTGCAATCAAATTGAGTAAAAATTAAGTATGTTTGACAATTTGATGTGAGAATTTCATCTAAAAAACAGAGAAATCATATCATTACTCAGATAACATGCATGTCTAAAAGATGTCGAAAAGATATCTAAAAGACGTCTTATGCAACAAAATGTTATATAAGATGTTTTTTTAGATATCTTTTCGACATCTTTTTGACATGCATGTTATCTGAGTATCAATATAAATTCGCCGAATAGCCTCTAGGATTCGATTCGCCGCTCGTCGATATCTTAGCATAGAAAAGTAGCATCAAACAAATTATATTTTAAAAAAATCATTATCCGACGAATTATAAAAACATTAAATTATTATTTGAAGAAAAAATTTATTGAGATGTTATATTATTCTCTTTGATAATTCATTCAACTCGGAAGAAAAATTTAGTCAAGAGAATAAAAGGTTAATAGAGCTAAAACATAATTATACAGAAGCTATAAATGTTTTTTCAACTACGAAAAAGTTGGAAACTGTATAATATGAGCAATTTTATCTCTTGATGAAAAGTTAAATAAGTCAGACAATAAACTAACATTTTCATACATTAAACTAACGATTTTGATAATTAGGGAGATGGATTTGCGAGATTAATTCAATTAAAAGAAATCATTACAACATTTTCCTTAAGTTTGAAGAATAAGTTACAATATACAGAGTTCGAATATACATTTCAACGACCATCAATAAGGTGCACTGACTATCTCGTTTGCCCACAGATAAATTCTCGTTACGGCGAGATATAAACGAATAAACTTTATCACTTAAAACTTCATATGATGTTCAGTCATGTACGATATAATATTCAGTCATATTGCTTTGGACTTGACTATAGGTTCGCTTTTTTTGGATTTTTCTGGTTGCTAACACCTTATTGAGTATTATACTTTTTTTATTGCTGCATTAAAATTACTAATTTTTTTTATTATAAATTAGATAGATATTGTATTTAAATCAACAATTCATGCTTGGTATATATCATTTAAAGAAAAAATTTATCGATGTTATATTGTTCTCTTTGATAACGCATGTAACTCATTCAACTCAAAAGAAAAACTTAGTTAAATTTTGTACTAGTTACTACATTTGAAAATTCATTTTGTTGCTGTTATCTTGCGGAATAATTAAATCAACATTGTAATTATTAAATTTTTCTATATACTTTGTTCGTTTAACATGCATAAAAAATCCCAAGAATACCAAATTATACTGAAAGAATTAAGGCAATTAGTTCGCCATGTGCAACTTTGACAAGTTAAAAAAAGAAGGTTCGCTCAGTTCTAGTTGCTCCAATCAATGTTTTTACACTGCAGTCGTAAATCTTCAACTAAGAATTAGTTGAGGCTATTCGACTATAATCCAAAAACAAGCGACAATTATTTTCAACTGGAATGAAGCTATTCTCGTGTAATGGGAAATTTTTTATTATCTTCCGTTCTCTGCGCGAAAAAGCTTAACGGATTTCCTTTAAGTCTTATAACGTATCATTCGCAAAATTGACAGTTCTCGTATCACTTTTCAATACACGATAATCAATGCAAGATAGATGGGACACGAATATGTAGCTTTTGAAATTTTTATTTGTGAGAAGGGAAGATGTAAATATATTCCGTTACAATAGATACGAAATCCATTAACTTTGCCACAATTATTTCGGAAGTTCTATACCGTTAAACATAGATATATACCTTCATCCATACACAGGGTCATAGTTATCCCCAAACTACTGGTGTATCAAATGTAACGACTGCCATGTGCCACTTTTATTTCGGCCTTTTTTCTGTCGAACGTATGTGGATAACGATTATTGCGCTTTTTCTCGGCTATTCGCCGTTGCGCGTTGTTAAATCGGAACTGCCGCGGCAGAAAAAGCGGCTTACGCGACAGCGATCGATTTGACGTCGTTTACTTTCTCTTAACAGAAAGTTTTTTTCCGTTTCGTTGTCGCTGCGTCGTGTGCGCGCGCACACACACACACACACACACACACACATATATATATATATATATATATATATATATATATATATATATATATATATATATATATAAACTGGAAATTGTTTTCGCTGTTCTGCAGACTACTATCGAAATGGAAAAACCACGTTCTTTGTTCTCCTAGGTTTTTTACCACAATGTCCTCGAACGAAAGCTCCAAAGATAAATAAATATATATACATACAGAGAGAGAGCCATCAAAAAAAAAAGTATTCTACGTAAAATGAATTTTCCTCTAACCCCATGTTCTAAAAGAAATATCTTACAAAAAGCATATTCCATTTTTCATTAAAGAGAACCACTCATCGTGCATTTATGAAATATTATTCTAATTGTGTTCTGCTATATCAAGAGGAATATGTTAATTTGAAACACAATGCCGTCTTACGTGCAGTACGAAAGACGCGAAGAACAGTTGTTTCGCTGCGTACTGTCGCTGTTCGTTGTGTACGGTTGGTTGAAACCAAGCACCACGCTTAGAACTTCCACCGTCAATTCACTGTCGACGTTTCAATCAAACCGACGTTGAAATCGTCAAACCGACGTCAGTTTGATATCATTTTGACGTTAATCAACGAATTATTTTTCACTGGGTATATAGATGTCACAAACATGAAGTCTTAAATAGCTCAGTGGGAAAAGTGGTTGCCTGGGTTCGATCCCAGCCGAGTCTGATGTTTTTCATCTCATATGACATTAAAAGTGGACATCTACAGATACACACAAGCACTCCGGTCGAAGTTTTCTGATCTTTCGTGTGAATGCGATAAAATTTATTAAATCAGAAGAAATATTTTTGAGTTGAAGTAATATATAAGAAGAAATTTAGATTAAGAACAAATAGATTTGCACTGTACATTCAATATGAAATTCTTCTATCTTTAAGAATTGTGTTTAAGATTATTTTTCTTTTGATTTCAAAGCAATCCTCTTGAAGCCATATATAAGAATAAAATCCTCTAAGATTTAGAGAATTCCACTTCTATTAATTTTTTTTTTTTTTTTTTTTT